CAAAAAAAAAAAAAAGTCAAAATAAGATAAAAATTAAAAAATACTTATTTATATTAAACAAAACTATAACCTTTTATTTTATTTAGTTGAAATTACGCCAGTTGTTAATACCTACGTATTTAAATCACTTAAATCACTTACGTACATTTGTCATAAATCACAATCATTTTCAGTGAACTTACAATAATATCTCCTTTCTCCGTAAATGATATAGACAGTCTCATTTTTATAAATATTATTTTAACATAAAATCTACATTCTTTATACGAAGAAATGGATGAATATGACACTAATATGAAATATAATATGAAAATGTCAACTAATGATCTAGTTGCCAAAGATTTATGTTAATAAGAAAAAAAATAATATTAAATATAAACCTTTTTTTTTCATAGGCTTTATACATTTATTATTATCTCTCCTACTATTCCATACGAGATTATTATAATAATTAATATTGCTTTGAAATTTAAAATATATCAAATATTGTATTAACAACTTAAGTATTACTTCATCCAATAATACACATTTTGCGAGCACATAATTCATTAAGTGTACGCTAAATAAATAGAAAATCTGTCAATTTACCTACTAATAATGAATACCCTAATGTGGTTATGCAAATTATAACTCACACATAACCTTTTGTGCAGAATTTTTAACAATAACAATAAAAACAGTATATTCTCGTTTAAGAGTTTAAAATCATTTATTATGTGTGTGTATATATATATATATATATATATATATAGCTGATAATTGTAAAATTATTATTCTTCAAAGCTGTTTTATATAAAAACGTAACCTCCCAATCAGCATAAAAATCATATTAACTTTTTATATTCAAACATGCTCTTTGTTTGTATTACTAAACGTATAAATATACTTCGTACATCAAGTAAACAGAAAAACTATAACTGTGCTAAAGTGTGAGGTTTTTATATATAAATATAGATATACATAGCGTTTTTATACTGTACTGCAAAAAATACGACTACGGAATTTAACATAACTTTGTAACTCGTATGTAAAAAATATAAGTGATTAAAATTTTTAACTTTTCAAAAACATACATTTAGGCACACACGTATTTTTTTTTTTTTTTTGCACCACATACTTAATGTTGTATTGATAGTGATCAATTATTTATTTTGTTTATTATTGTATTTACCATACTCATATAAAATTGTAATATATTTTTAAGTAATAATTACAATATAACAGTTATTCAGGTGGAATAATCCAATTTAATCGAACAGTAAATACTAAATACAGTTGTTCAGCATAGTTTTTAAATAACAAAAAACATTTTTTGTATGCTTTTATAAATATTTATAAGCAACCATTATTTTACTTATATTATTTAAGATAAAATAATTAAACTATTTAGATGAATTTAAAACTTTTTACGTGATATTTTGACTCAAACTTTTAGTGTATTGATGAAAATTAAAACATTCAACTCTATGCTATATTTTTAAATTACCTCTTGTCTTATAAAATTCCGCGCAGGTCATCAAAAGCAGAGTTGTTTTGTTTAAAACATTTTGTTTTAAACACATGTTTAAAACAACTAAATATAACAAATTTGAATTTGTTTATCATTTAAAACAATTGAATAAAACAACAGAAAAAACAAGTGTTTAAAACAAAAAAAAAGAAAGACAATTATTACTTAGTTTTAATTTTCTTAAAAATTTTTATTTTATCAGACCACATATAATTAAATTTATATTTCAAATTTTATGCAATTTGTGAAACAACCTGGTGTTTATTTTTTCAAGAAATTTTTAGCAGATAGGAAAAAGTTAAAACTTTAAAATGATGTCCATAAACATTCGTATTTTCGAATTATAAAATATTTTTCATTTCAAAAACATCTAATGATGAGTTTAAGAGGAGAAAGTGCTAGTTGCCCCCCCCCCCCTATTGAGCCTAAGATAGTTTTTTTCTAAACGTAATAATTTTTTTTATAATTGACTCAATAAGAGTCTATTTTATAACAGTGTTGCCAATGTTGCCTAATCAAAATATCTCAATCTAAATTTTTAATTACATTGACTTTTTTCGACTTCAAATAATAAACATATTTTAAATTTTAAAACTATTTTAAACAGCACAAAAAAAACGTGTTTTTAACAATAAAAACATGTTTTTGATTTTTTTCGAACTCTGAATTTAAAAGTAATTAAACGAATAATCATTTTATTTTTACTAAAATTACTGTTAATAAACAAGTACTTAGTTATAAATAAGATCGAGAATCTCGATCTTAATAACACTTTAAGGAATTCTCGAGACAGCTTTTGAAAATGGATGCGAAATCTATTTATTTTTTTTTCAGATAAAAAAAAAATATTCATCACGGAAACAACACTCCACAAAAATAATACAGATCGCAAATATTAAAGTATAACTCAGTTAATAAACTCTTACAATTAATTGTTTTCAGGTCTTAAATGCCCATGAAAACAATCATAAATAAGTATTATCGAAATATACTCAATTTATTTAGCGTTTATAAAATTAAAATTTTTCAAATTCTTATCTGAAACTATAATTTAAAAACAAATATAAAAATCAAAATAAATTTATTTTAACAAACAAAAAGTTACAAATGGTATTATATGTTATTTAAATAAACAATTTCATTTCACTATATTTTCAATAGCTAATAATTATTTATAAGTATGATCTCTTTAGAGTATCACAATTGTATCCTTTCCATTTATATAGAGCCTTTTTTGTAACGATTTTACTGAAATAAAAATTTTATTTTGAAAATACACGTTATTATACAACCAATAGCTTATTTACTTCGTTCAGAATCTAAAGTAAACGAAAAATATATACTTAAAAAAATATGACAGTGCACAACAGACAAAAAAATTATCTTGAATGTTTTTTCCGGGTCCACGCTAATGGAATATCAATTAGATGCGATTCGGACAAAGGCTGCTGAATGGCGATAAATTCGGAAAACACTGGCCAATTTTCACAAAAGCGTGTAATCAATTCAATATATTGTTATTTCCCTGAAAAAACTTTTTACTTTTGCCTTGCATATAATCTACTTCCTGATGGCAATAATTTGTAAATGGTCGTCACCGGTAAAGAACCATCATGGACGATAGTCTTGGAAGTGGTCCAAAGACCTTTTTTGTAGACTGTCTGACGATAACACCATCGTCGCCACCATCGTTGGCGACTACAGACGGTGGAAAAATATCGATCCAAATAATCGCGCCGTGAACAGATGCGGAAAATTGGATAGCTCCGCCCCTGAACGTGCCCTAAGCGTTGGCCAATAAAATAAAACCAAAAGACAATTTCTAGTCACGTTATGTGGAACTAACACGATAGGTCTTATGTACAAGATGTATATGCATAAATATAATATATATATACGGCGCGTGGTGGACAAGCATAGGGTACTATAAAAGGCAGATTGAATTTTACATAGCTGTTTCTAGTTTCTACATCCTACTCTAAATCACCATCATTCTATTAACTGAGGAATCGAATAAAATATATATATATACCTACCTACTTTAAACTTTGAAAATACAAATACGACCATGGACCACCAAAGTTACAATCCACTTAATATTAAGATACCTATACATTAATCAATGTAAAAATAAAATTATACGTTTCATAAAACATATTGTGAAGTTATAATAGTTACAATATATTTTATTCACTATAAACTAGCAACGTTATTAATAAGAAAACAAATTTAACAATGTTTATGGTCAAAATGAATAATTTTTACTTTAAACATATAAAAAAAATTACATATTGTGCATCTTATAAACGAATTTGTGATTTAATTTATCATATGACTAACTGATACTGTTTTAATAAATAATCACTCAGTTAAATTAAAATTTTCGTTTATTAGATATTAATAGAAAGCCATAATTTTTCATAAAGTTTGAATATAGTTGATAAATCCTTCCAATAACCTGCAGAAAATTATAAACCAACGGATTATAGTCTAGCTTACAATAATATCGTTGTATGATGCGAGTTATATAATTAATGTTTTCGAATAACGAGATGAAACATAAAATAACTTTACACTTTTGTTATTGAATTTACCGTCAAAAATATTGTATTAACTATAAATTACGTGGATTCCCAATTTTTCACTGAAATTACAGTAGGTGTAATTTACTAAAACTATTTTAGTATCAATAATCAATGTTGACCTATGACCTATTGTGTTATTATAGATATAAAATTAATATTTATAACATGCAAACAATAATTTGCACTATAATATTTTTTTTCATAAATATTATTAAAATAAAATCGTACTTATAATAAATTAAACATTAATTTTCGTGATCAAATTATGTAATTTAAATTTGTATTATTTACTTTTTTATCACACAATACGTCGACTATATAAAAATATTTCATTCAAAAATTACAGTTTCACTTAATGTGAAACTAAAAAATTAATTACATACATGTGAATATCATTATATAGAACATAAAAATAAACTATACTGATACTATTAAATAAAACCTAATCATGTATTTTCAAAATATTTACGTACATGTAAGTAAATTGGTATTTTTTGATCGTTTTACAGGGGCTAGTTACATAAATAGGTTGCATCGTTAACGACCATTAACAGATCTCTTTCAAATAAAAAAAAAAAAAACAATTCTTCTACAAAACAATAATGACGTGCCACATTAAAGATAATAATTTGTAGCTCTTACATTCACAGAATTTATTACGTAGAATGCTTCAACTATTTAAACCGAAGTATTAACATTTGAATACCTACAAAAATTAAATACCAAAAACACTTTATCTTTATTACTAACTTATTTAGCGTTTCCGTTTTAACTCATTACATACTTCACTAGCAGACAAAACCAAACTAAAAATGATTGTAAATATTGTTATAAAAATGAATCATTTTAATATAGTTTTTTTATAGGTGTAATAATATTATATAGTTTGATCTATAATGTCTTACCTTTACTGTTACATTGAAATAACAATTGATCCAAATTATTTGTCAACTCCAATCTAAAAATAATAATAATAATATATTTATTGTAAATACAATTTGCGTTTATTAACAGCGAACGATTTATTATTTATTTAGTACATAAACTAAATGATATAATTGCTAGTCTATATTACATTTTATAAATATAATTTTATTATGTTAAATATTCATATAATGTGCACACCTACATAACCAGTTGAAATATTAACACCATTTTTAACAATTTGGTAACAATTCACAATTTACTTAATGTATTTTTAATTCACTGAAATATTCACAGAAAAATGTCTGATTTCTTTATCATGACATGTATGTTAAAATTCACAATAAAAAAAAATATGAATATTGTGCGTGACAAATATATAAATCATATTTATAACATCATACAAATAAAATTTAAAATTAATTAAGTGTATTAAAGTCTATGAATCTTAAAAGTAGTATTAAAATAATATCACACCACCAATATAACCATAATAGTATAATACATTTTATTAAAATTATGTTTGTAGACTTTATTTAATGTGTTAAGAATGTTAAGATTATAACATCACACCCTATTTTTAATAAATGTTAAAATATTATGGCACATTCGTGACAACATTTTCATATATAGTGGACACTGCTTATAAGACTCACATTGGAATCAGCACAAAGTGAAACTTATAAGCGAAGTGGAAAAAAAAAACAAAATACTTATGAATTTAATTTTATTATCTTACTTTTATTTTAATCTACTTAAATATATATATATATATATATGTATATATATAGTATATACACATATTATATATTACTGTTATTAGTAAATAAATGAAAAAATTATGATTAAAATATTAAAATTATATTATTATATATTAATAAGAAATTATAAATTATGTATGTAGGTACACACTTATTATTTATGAAAAATTTTTGTAATTCTGATTTGTATTGATTTATGTTCTAATATTCCGGAAATGGAATTTCTGAAACTTTTCGACATTTCTTATGTAATTTTTGAAAACAAATTAATTTCTAAATTTTAACCAAAAATATTTATTTTGTATCATTTTTTTTACGAAATTTGAGTAATATAACCGAATTTTTTGTAGTATATTTGGATACGTCCGGATCATTACAGACGATTTTGAATCTAGCGACTGAATCTTATATTCTTGAGTTTTATAAGCGGCATCTACTCTATCTAAAAATTCGATAATATTTTTTGTTTTCTTTATTAAAAATCTATAAAATAGTTAAACATAAACTAACCTTTTATTTGATCAAAATATGAATTATAAGAGTTTATTTTTTTGATATCTTGTTTGATAAAAGTTTATAAGAAGTATCCTATTTACAAAAAACAAAATCTTTAATAATAAATCTTTTCAATATATATTAATATAAATAATTAAGTTTAAATTGTATTTAAGAAGCTTAGAAATTTTCTGAACATACTATAATATTATTATATATTATATTAGGTAGGTATATATTATGATAGAATATATATTTTAATGAAAGAAAAAGTATATGTATGAATATATGTATGTTGCTGTTTAAGTACTAAAATTTTAACTACCAAAGTCAAAAATTGACTAGTTAGACCATTTTTATTGATATTTAATATAATTTGTATAATACGTATTAAACTTCAAAATTTAATAAAATTTACTGTTTTAAAAATTCACTTATCTAAAATAATATTATTTAATCATCTATATTTTTGATAATCTTCCAATGAAAAATGATCGTCAACATTAAAATAATATTTAACGTTGAAGAATAAAACAATCATAATCACGTACACTTTTATAGCAAAATTATATCTCATTAATTTCTTTAATGTTTAACGGAACGCTTAAAAATAGATTCGTAGGATCGAAGATAATAAAGTTAGAATATATTTACTGTTTTTGTAAAAACATTAAAAAAAATAAATAAAACTTTTTTCTGCTTTTTAAAAATTTATTTATTTTTCGAATTCTTATTTAATGACACAGTATGAATTTTGAAAAAAAATGTCACTGAGAAAGTCCGACAATATAAGTAGGTCACCAGAGACACATATAAACAAAACTCTCTCACAGCTATAGCCACCTCTTCACCATTATATTTAAAAATACCCCAGAGACTATTTCGCTTGATCGAATTATCGAATTGTTCACGGTTTGCAATTTGCAGTGACTTTTATTTCTAACATTTTTCTCCGTCTTTTATCTGTCGACCTATCTTTATCATTACACAAATTAATATGCATCATTTCATTTGCTTTTTTAAATGTGGTAGAATGTGTCACAGATTGTGAAAATTGCATGATTAGCTTATTTGAATTGATTATAAAAATAAAACGCTTTTTTCAATACTTAAAACTCAACTTTAACCCATCAACCAGTTTATTTACTTAATTTATTATACATATAATTTTAATTACTGCAAACGAATCGTTTCAGGGATGTACTTCAGATAATCGGTCGATTTGCATTACTTGAATTGGAGGTAATGTGACCCGACCCATACTTTTTTATTAAAACACCCAGATATATGGCATTGTAGGATCGGTGGAACATGACGCATACCTACTTCTAAAATACGTTCACTGCGCATTTCAAAATTACTGCTATACTTCCGCAACGGTGGTAAAATAAGAACGTACTTTGATCTTACTAGCGTATTATAATATTAATTATATAGACTGAAACAATGATCTAAGGATATAACCACTCATATCTACTAACCATATATAACATATATAATCTATATCAACCGGAAACTGAATCGTGGACAACCTTAGATAACCTAACCCAGATTGCTCTTGGAGGACATACGTATATCTCCGACCACCAATCCATAACACTATATAGCAAACACAGAATGATCTTCGTCCTTTATAACAAAAGTCCAGTCCCACATATAATCTATTTCTGTTTGCATTTTTGTAAGAAAAACTTTCTGACAATGTATATTGTTTAAAAACTATGTTGGTTACTACAGTTTATAAATATAACAATGATGATAACAAATCAAGGAAATTTTATAAACAATATAATATACAAAAAATGTGTATGTAAAGTGATTCATCAAACATGTTCTACACTCTTTTTATTCTTTAATAATACATTTATTCAAATTTTCAGCTACACTTAAACACTATATTTTCTTAATTTTTTTTATTATTTAACGTTATAATACAAACTTATATTTTTTTTCAAATAAGAACCTACTTCGTTAATGTAAACAATTGGCAGTAAAAAAGGGTTATACTTATTTGAAAAAATTGATTATAATTTCCATAGAATATTCTTTAAATGATATAAAAAAATATGAATATTTAGAAATATGATCTTAAAATTTACTTAAAATTCCAAAAATTATAATTTTAATAAATTCATCATTAAAAAATAAAAATAGAATGATCATGCTTGTTGAATTACATATCACAATCAACTGTAATTTATTTATTTAAGTTGTAATATTAAAATTGCTAAATTTAAACTATAAGATAATGTAATTAATAATTATATTTTAAAATAAATTAATATATGTATATTTACATAAAACCTATGAGTAACAGTTATACATACTAATGATATACATTTAAATTTAAAAATAAAATTGTTTGTAAAATAATCACACATTAAAATAATAAATACTATTCACTATCATGCCTTTGTTCAGTAATAGCATCTTATTTTTATTACTATTATTATTATTATTATTATTATTATTATTATTATTATTAAACCAATAGGATATACCACAGTGACGGACAAAAGTCAGTTTATCGTAAAAATATACAATAATAATTATATAAAATCAAATCAAATCATAAATAATAACACGTTATATCAACATTTGAAGAAAAAAAAACATGGTTTTGTGTATAATAATAATTGATCTATTATACCACCATAGTGCATATAATACATTTGCTAAAACAATTCTGTAATGAAATATTTTCAGTTACTAGTAACCCTATATTTTCTCAAATATTTATGATGGAAACGTATTTTAATGGAAATAAGAATCAAAACTAATTTGTATTTGGTGGAAAATGATAACATTTCTTTAGCAGAATCCGGCATCATCTTCTCAACTCTACTTTTATCCGAAAGGTATGAAATGTGTCCTTAAGATTTTATTACAGACGTTTCTAGGATTTATCACTTGAAAACGTGAATTGTGAATGGTTAATAATATCAAATCAAATCAAGATAAAATATTTCATTCATCTCTTCTCCTAAAATCATAACGCTGATAGTACACCACCATTTTACGAAATGTGTCAGATAAGTCTACCAAAGAACGTATATTTGATAGTAAAAAAAATTCCACATCCAGATTCTGCGACAGATGATAAAATATTACGTTCAAGTACGTAACATTTGATGATCCTGTACAGAAAAACAATACCAGTGTCGAAAATCATAAAAACATTGCAGTGCACTCGCTCTGTTGTATTAATGTGTTTTCAACACAGTTCTGCGAATAATGAGGTCCTTGGATAACTCTTTACACATGTGATCATACTTAGTCAGATATAGGCTGTAAACCACGATAGAATTCGTTTATACCCCTCTACAGCTTTAACATATCACTCTTTTTTGCTGAAACAAAAGTCCTAAGCTTTTGATGTTTCACACAATTTTGTGAGCATTAATTGACACGGATGGTGTGAATAATAATTATATATTTATTTAAAAAATATATGCATCATAAAAAATTACTTTTTTGTTTTATTTTTACTTATTTATTTATTTATTTTTTTTTTTTTTAAGTTAACAATCTATACTATATACAAAATAGGAAAATATAATTACAGATGCAACAGCATTTTTATTTACAGAATAAAATGAAGAAAGAAACCATCCAAAAATGGAACCTAACGTGATTATATTTTATTATATACTTATTTGAGTAAGTCTCTGTACCATTGACATTTCAAACAGCACGTTGGATTTCCAGAAAAAAATGTATACAAAAAAGAAAAAATTGTAGAAATTGAGTGTGTAAATAATCGCGAGTGGAATCTGGA